TTTCATTAGCTTAAGTGGCCAAGTTTAACTCAAACTGACCTTGCTTAGCTTTCAAGAAAGCGAACTTTCTAAATAAATGTGAGGCTAGTTTGGATCTCGTCCAAATCAAGTTGGATAAGGATTCAAGCAATTTGGAGCTTCAAGTTCAAGAGAGAAAGGAATTTTAAAAAATACATTGACCTTTGCAAAGTGGAAGAGTGTCTTGCTTTTCAAAAATCTAGAGTTCAATGGTTGGGTCTTGGGGATAGGAATAGTAGGCTTTTCTTTAGGTCTGTGAAAAGCAGCATCAATAGAGGAAAAATTTTGAGTGTTGACCTAGGGGATGGAACTAGATCTACCGAAAGTGTTGTCATTCATGACACCTTCGTTCAATTCTATACTAGCTTGTTTGGCTCCTCATTCAAGGACCAGTATAATGGCTTGGAGAGGATACAATCTCTTGTGAAAACTAAAGTTTCTGCATCCCAATCGGCTAATCTTGCTAGACCCGTTTCTGATGCTGAAATCAAGGAGGTTTTTAGTCTCTTAAGGCTAATAAAGCTCGTGGTCCTGATGGTTATTCTGTGGGGTTCTTTAAACGTTCATGGGATATTGTTGGTAAGGAGGTTACCCTGGCTATAAAATCATTTTTTGACTCTGGTAAGCTCCTTATGGAAATCAATAGTACCATTATAGCCCTTATTCCTAAAATTCCTAATCCCATGAAAGTTGGTGATTACAGACCCATCTCATGTTGTAACACCATTTATAAATGCATCGCTAAGATCATAGCTAACAGAATTAAGATGGCGCTCCCTGATCTTATAGACCCAGTGCAATCTGCCTTTGTCCAAGGCAGAAGAATCTTTGACAATATCTTTTTATCCCAAGAGATTTTGAGTGGCTGTCATAGGAATTCTAAAACCCCGAAGTGTGGTATGAAAGTTGACAATATGAAAGCTTATGATAATGTGAGATGGGAATTTATTCTTGATATTCTCACTGCGATGGCTTTTTCTCCTTGTATGATAACTTGGATAAAGGCTTGTGTGACTAGTCATTCTTTCTCTATCTGTATTGATGGCAGCCTTTGTGGGTACTTCGAAGGGGCTAGAGGGCTTAGGTAGAGGGATCTTATGTCCCCCTACTTGTTTGTGTTGGCTATGGAGATCTTAGCCAGAATTTTGGCTGAAAAGGCTAGTAGCCCTTTGTTCAAGTTTCATTGGAGATGTGAGAAAACCAAAATTGTTAACCTATGCTTTGCTGATGATTTGATGATCTTTAGTAGAGGGGATCCTCATACTGTTAACCTCATTATGCAGGGTTTGGAGGAGTTTAGGAGTTTGTCGGGCCTCACTCCAAGCCCTAGTAAGAGTAACATTTACTTATCGAGGTGTAATTTGGAGCTTAAAGAGGCCATTCTTCATATTATTAATTTTACTAAGGGCTCACTCCCTGTGAAGTATCTAGGTGTGCCTTTGATCACAACTAAGCTTAAGGCATCTGATTGCCAAATTCTGATTGATAGAATAACTAATAGGATTAAAAGTTGGACTAATAAACTTCTATCTTATGCTGGTAGAGCTTAACTCATCCAGACTATTCTTTTTTCGATTCAAGTTTATTGGTCCTCGCTTTTTATTCTTCCTAAGAAGGTTATTCATGACATTGAAAGTCTTCTTAGATCTTTTCTGTGGTCTGGGACTGAGTTGAAGAAGCATAGTGCTAAGATTGCTTGGAAGAATATATGTAAACATAAGAATGAAGGTGGTCTTGGCTTTAAGGATATGGAGGTTTGGAACAAGGCTGCTATAGCCAAACATGTCTAGTTTCTGTTTTCCGGTGGGGAGTGTTCTATGTGGTGTCAATGGGTTAAGTCTTACTTGCTCAAAGGTAAGAGTTTCTGGGGTACTAAAATGCCTACTGATCCTTCTTGGGTTTGGAGGAAACTTCTATCTCTTAGGAATTTAACTTTCCCTCTTATCAAATTCAAAATTGGTAATGGGGAAAATGTGTTTCTTTGGTTTGATAACTGGCACCCTCTTGGCTCTCTTTGGCATAGGTATGGGCAGAGGATCTTGTGTGATACACACCTTCCTGATAGTTCCAAAGTAGGTTCCATTATTTCTAATGGCTCTTGGAAGTGGCCCATCCCTAATACTTGGGAGATAAAGGAGTGATTTCCTCTACTCCTCCTACCCTCAATCCCTCCCACTCTCTGGATACTCCCTTCTGGAGCTTGAATGCTGATGCTGTGTTCTCTATTCATTCTACTTGGAACTATTGGAAGGATAAGGGTCCCAAAGTTCCTTGGTCCAAACTGATCTGGGGACCTCCATTAATTCCTAGGGTTAGTTTTGTTGTGTGGTTGGCCAATAATGAGAGGCTGAATACTGGTGATAGATTACAAATGTTTGGTCTTGTTCCTAATCCTAGTTTCCATTTCTGTCAAGCTCCTGAGTCGAACCACACCCATCTCTTTTTTAGGTGTGCTTATTCTTCTAGGATTTGGGCTGCTGTCCAGACTAAGTGTAACACTAGCTGTCCTAATTTGTCTTGGGTGGAGACTGTTGATTATGCTACCAAGACACTAAAAGGCAAAACCTTGCAATCTGTAATCATGAAACTGTCCTCCCTTTGCACTGCGTACCATATTTGGATGGAGAGAAATAGTAGAATCTTTCGTAAGGTATCCAAACCTGAAGAGATTGTTACTAACTCTATTATCCAAATGGTTAGAGGTAGACTTCTTTCTATGGAAAATGTAACTAATTCTGCAGGTGATAACTAGTTTCTGAGGCAATGGAACTTACCATCTAAGATCATGGAGATGGTTCAGCCATGGAAGGAATCTGAGGGATGTGAGATCACCATATTGAGGGTTGAGTGATAGTTAGCAGAAAGTGAGTGTGTACTTAATTAGTGTGTTCTTTTGCAGGTTGGTATCTGTTCTAATTGACTCAATTCTATGATGGTTTCCTATCCATTAGCAAATTTGGACTGGTCTTGTGGTGGGTTGAGTGATGTGAGCCTAGATATTCTGTATATCAAATGTGGGTTGAGGGAAGTGAGATTGCACATATATGAAGTTCTAATCATTATTATATATTATATATTTTTTTATGCAGGTTAAGGAAGTTATCACGTACTCATTCTCTCTGTGGGTTCTGTGTGAGGATGTGAGTAGTGGGTCAAGTGAAGTGAGACACTAGATTGAGTGGAGAGATTTCTTAAAATGTGGGTTGAGTGATGGGAGGTCCGAAATTGAGTGTATGCTTTTTTTGCTTCTCTATGATTGTCTATACAGTTCCGATACTCATCTATTACTCTATATTGGGCAGGTATATCTGATCATGGTATGGTGGAGTGGCGGTAGCTGCATTTTGCGCCCTTCTAGAAGGCATCAAACTGTTTGGACATGTACCTTGGGGATGGCTGCTTCCAGCGCCTTGTCAAGCTATATGTGTGTGTTTATCAGTTGTCTTAATTTTTGTTTGTATATAAAACTCTTTGATAGTTTTACTCTCCTAGTTAATGGTAAAGGCGCCTACTCCTACGAGTTGTGTAGGAGGTTCTTGGTTTGGTCTTATTTTCTCTTTATTTTAATGGTGCTGCTGGATATGACCTCGGGTAAAAGAGATCTGCTGAATCTGTTATGCTATTCTTCCAATAGCTATAAAGTGTTGCTGTGTGCAAAATGCAGGACATGGTTTTTGTACAATCTGTGTTGCTGTGTGCAAAATACAGGACATAGTTTTTAGCTGTTGTGTGCTCATGCTGTACCAAACCCCTATCCTTTGCAGGACATGGTTTTTTACAATCTCTGACTTGGTTCGCCTTAGTTTCTATCAGTCAGTGATGAAGTTTTAGGACTGATCTGTCTGTTTTGTTAGTTTTGTGTTGTTTTAGCTTTTGTTGTTGTGGGCTGGGTTTCGATTATTTTTTGGCCGAGGCTTTTGCCTTTGTTTTTTTTGAGATACGGCCTGGGGTATGCCCCTTGTAATCTGGTAAATCTTTTGTTTAATTTTATTTCTTATTCACCAAAAAAAAAAATTATGAGTTAAACTTGGCCACTTAAGCTAATGAAACTATTTGTTGCCTAAGCTAATTAGTTCCTAAAAAAAAAGAGAGAAGGACGGAGAGAGTCAGAGAGAAACTATCCTCCTGAGAACTAAAAGAGATAGAGAAAAGAAAGGTAAATAGGATAAAACTTACAGGGAATTCAAATTCATCCTTTTGGAATTGAAAATTGAACACTTAGGTGATTTAGAAAACATGAAATGGGTTGCTTAGGTTAAACTAGAATCGTTAAACGATGATTATTCCGTAAATTCTCTTTCTTGAAGGCTAAGAAAGATTAGTTTGAGTGAAACCAGGCCCCGTAAGCCAATAAAACTGATAGAAAACTTTAAATGAGATGCTTCTGTAATGACCCCAAAAGTCATCCTTATTTAATTAGTGGTTAATGTGTTTTAATTCAACTATATCTATCGGAATTAAAGAATTATCTGCTGAGTTATGGCGACCTTTAGTTTTAGGGCATGTTTCAATTAGCATCCTTATGCTTCGCATGTTTGCATTCATTCATCTGTCTTGCATGCACCGGGCTCGGCGCATCATACTAATTGCATTGTATTTCAATTCCGAGTTGAATACGTGTATCAGTTGTTGCATTTCATATGCCATTTTAGAATAGCTGAGCCTATCTTAGTTGCATTTTTGCATGTGTTGCATTAGGCATTTCAGCATAGTAGGATCATGCATTGATTACTAACTAGTTTCTGTTTTGGCTTGGAGTACTCGGTAAGTATTTACGTTTTAGCATCCTTGCATGTGTGTGAGTGTGAGTGACTGCCATGATAGCATGCTTACCATGAGGCTATGTGCTATGTGATATAACTGCCTGAATGCCAGTGGGTAAAGGTTGGGTTGTTTGAGTTGGAATAATTCGTCGAAACCCGTGTTTAGCCTACTTGCGAGTAGCAAATTTCAATCCATTTTTAAAATAAACGGATATGCGATGCTTTGTTCCAACTTTGGCAATCTAGTCTATACTTGTACGCTGTGTGCATCACATAGTAATTCTGGGCAAATAACTAGAATAAGAGCACATAATGTTTTCAAAACTCGATATCATGGTTAGTACAGGCCGATCTTTGATCAGGCGAGCGGGGGTGCTCACGAAGTGACCTTCCCCAATCGTACCCAAGTTCCCGAGCCGAGGCAACTTTGGTGATGACGGACACGTGGCCTTAGGCACGAGTCAGGGTTTCCTAAATTCTCCCAAAACAAAATATTTAGGTTGTGAGTCTGTAGCTGGCAAAGCAGTCCATGTTTGGTACTTCTTTCTAAAAATCTATTTTTCAAAACGATTTGCCGGATTTGGACTCTTTGGTGATTTATCGGTTTCGCATTGCACTTTGCGGGATTAGATTCAGAACTGTGGCATTTGAGTCCGAATTGTAGTGAGCCCAATGAACAAAACGAGATTCCCTCCCGGGACGTTCGAGGACGTCTACAGTTTCTGGCGACTCTTGTGGGGATTTAGAGAACTTGACTCGAACTCATGATATCCTATTTTGATTACACTTATGTGTTTCTTTGCATTGCATTTGCATTGGTGCACCTAGGACACCGTGTTTGCCATCTGCTATTCCTGAACGGTTTGCCGGAGGCTCGTTTTGAGAACCGTGCCATAAGGCTGGCCGGTTACGAGCTCTGCCACGATGGGAATACAAACCCTGGTTTTTACCAGGGCACCCTTTTGATCATTCGACCTAGTGCATAATCGAAATCCATAGTGACCATTCCAAACTAGGACAGGTTGCTTACCCGATTAGAGGTTGTTTGAAACCGCTGTGTGCGTAGTGAAACCCTAGTTATTGACGAAACTAGGACAGGAAAACCCTACCCCTCCACAACGGTGTTTTGGCTCACACTTGCTTGCTATGTGCTCTTAGAGTGTGTCTCTACAGGAATGCATGTATCAATTTGCAAGTCTGGGTATCAGGCCTGAGGGCATCAGTATGTGGGGAATTAGTTTGACCTGAGGGTATCAGTTTACAGGTAGAATCTTGGACAGAATTCAGTAGAGAGCACAGTTATTCGGCTGCTCATATCTGTTTTGGTGAAATCAGGCTGAGATGCTGCATGTTTTCTCTTTTGCTAGGTAGTCTTGGAACCGTAGCTTCAGAAGGCTCCAATATCCCCCGAGGTTCATCGGATTTGTGCTGATAGACTTTGTTAGGTCAGAGATTCAGTTCAAGGGAAATCAGTGTTCCTTTGCCAGAGGCAGGGTAAAAGGGCCAATCAAGCACAGATCACCAGTTCAACAGTCCTCAGATCAGCGGTCATTATCCATCTCACCTGTGCGTAGTTGGGTTGAGATATCTATTTTTACAGACACAGATATACCGATAGATCAGTTAGATCAGGGCAGTATGGCAGGAAATGGAGGAGATGATGCGTCAACTCCAAGAAAGTATGAAAATCATGCAGCAGGACGCTATTCGTCAAGCCGAATTTTCCAAACAACAGGCCGAGGTCATGGCTCAACAAGCAGAGTTGATCGCCAGGTTACAGCAGCAAACCGGAGCATCTGCTTCGCACCATGCACCTCCCCTACCAGGAGTTCCAGCACCTGAGGAGGCACCAAATGTCAGGGAGAAATGGACATTCCGACAGGACCGGCTCCGCCCCCAATCCTACCCCAATTATCCAAAACACCCACCAACCTGTCGGATTCTCCCTTTGACTTCGAGGTGGACCCCACAACATTGAAGGCGAGCAAGCTTGAAAAGCTATTCAAGAAATCTCAGGGTGTCAAGTCCATCCCGGACATTGAGGATGGGTATACCAATGCGGTCGTGACGCTGCAAGACCGTTTTAAAATGCCACATATTGACCACTTTGATGGGTCCGGGATCCCATGGTGCACTTACAGCTGTTTTCAGACATGTTAAGGCCAATGGGTCCCACCAGAGTAGATAAGCTTTCTTTATTCGGCCGGACCCTGTCGGGTGTATCGGCCATCTAGTATGCAAAATTGGAAGACGATGTTAAGAGGAATTGGTATGAGATGGCCGAGGCTTTTGTCGCTCAATACTCCTATAATACACAAATTGAGATTAGAACTCGTGATCTTGAGACGACTAGGCAGGAGCCTAAGGAGAGCTTTTTTGAGTTCGTAACCCGATGGAGGGCCAAGGCCTCAATGATGGCCACTAGGCACGCTGACAAAGATCCGATTCGGATGATTGTGCGCAATCCCCAGCCCAAACTCATGCAAAAGATGATCGTTCTCCACTTCTCCACCTTTTCAGATTTGCATGAGATGGGGGTACAGATCGAGGACGCTATGAAGCAGGGCCTCATTAACCAGGAGAAGGAGCAGCCCCGGAGGGCGTTTTCCCGCAGTTCGAATGGAACCACAAGTGGTGATGCAGTTGCAAGATCTTCTGAAGTAGGTATGGTCACCACCGCCGCATCAAGAACAGCTACCCCATTCACCGGTGCGTCCGAAAGTAGCTCACACAAAACCAAATATCCACCTTGAGTTAAGAGGGTTTTTACCCCACTTTATATGCCTTTGTCAAAGGCTCTAGAGGTCTTACTCCGGAAGGGATATCTGAAACCGTTGGAACAACAACCTCTACCCGATCCTATCCCTCCAAAGCATGACCAGACTAAATACTATGCCTACCATCAACGAACCGGTCATGACACTGATAGTTGCATTCGCCATGATGTAAAAGATATGTTTGACAACAAGATCATCGCCGCACCAACTCAACAAAGTCTATCGCCACTGGATCAGTGAACTTGGGGGATAGTACGAATATGTGATCAGGGGATGAACCACCTGCGGGCGGCACTCAGTTTACTCCAGATGTGGCGTATGGCATGCACTGTTTTGAGCATTTGTGAATACTGGTTTTTGTACTTTCTGACTCGGGTATTGAGTCAGTTTTGTTATGTCGTTTAGAGTCTGTCCTGTTATATAGAGCCAGTCTTTTCATACTGAGTCAGTTGGGTCTGTCTTGTTGTATCGAGTCAGTCTTGTTTTGTTATAGTCGGGTGATTTCGGGGGTGTTACCTCGGACATCACTTGCTTGTTTTGTGTTTGTCTTTTTGTTTTCTTTTGAGTGTGTTTCTACCTTGCAGCCAGTTGTGCCAACAGATTTTGAATGAAACAGCAGTGATTTTCACACTCATGTGTTTGCTTCGGCCTTGTACCAGTTGTGCCAGTAGTTCTGAATAAGATGGCAGTATTTGACCTGAACTGTGTCTTTTTTGTGCTTTGAAATCATTGCATTGACTTGAGTTTTTTCAAAACTTTTTGAACATTGTGATGAAAACAAAGAGGAAGGAATTTCT